TCCCACATCAAGTGGACGAGGAGTTCGGCAATTTAAAACTGCACTCCTTCAGCGTCTGGAGCGGGTATTTTAGTCCCTCTGTCTGTTCACATATCTCTATTTTCCACTTTCTGCTTGTAGTTTGCCTTTATGGATATTCATACGCGTACTTGTTTGCAACATATTGTGACTAAACAAAATCATTTAAGCTCTGTTTGTTAACCTTGAAAATTAAGCTTCCAAATACTATTTCCATTTATGTGTTGTTCTATTGTGTTGTCTTCTTTTTAAAGAGCAAAATCTAAACCAAGTTCAGGAAGCTAAAAAAGTAGTTTTTAGAAACTAGTGTTTCTATTTGAAATTTGGCTATGAAGTCACGTGTTTTTAAGAAATATGAAAAATATATCAAAGAAATTGTGAGAAAAGTATAATTTTTTTAAAAATAGAAAATTAAAAACAAAATGGTTATTAAATGAGCTTTAAGAATTCAAAGCTTGGGGTTGATTTCTGTGAGGTAACTCCCTCACAACTAGGTAGTTAGATTAACAACAGAATACAGAAACAAGCAACCGTTCGAGAGGGTTGCGCTCTCCCACTAGTCTCACTTACCGAGTACAAAACAAAAGCATGCCTCTAACCTTGGCAGCCCCAAAACATATATTCTCCCTCCCACAACCTAGGACCACACAAAAGACAAAAGCTAAGNCCTCCCACAACCTAGGACCACACAAAAGACAAAAGCTAAGGTCCTACCCAAGTCAACCTCCTAATTGTCAGAAGAGGGGGAATTACCCCCTGTACGCCTGCGTACATAAGTATGTCTAATAGGAGACCTAACATCACCCCCCGGGGGTCCAGTCACCTTGTCCTCAAGGTGGAAGTTCGGGAATTGGAGCTTAAAAGTCTCAAGGTTTTCCCAAGTGGCGTCGCCCTCATCCGTATGTTTCCAGTGCACTAGGGCTTCCAATTCGGCAGTGTCGTCATTGTGGTGAAGGGCAAATACTTCTTCAGGTTCAGGGAGGACTTCAAAGTCATCCATTAGTGGTGGCACGGTTGAGCATATTTCTTTTCCTGGGCCAATGACCTTCCGCAGCTGTGACACATGGAATACCGGGTGGATGGATGCTTCCGTTGAGAGCTCTAATTTGTAGGCGACTTTGCCAATCCGCTCGGTGATGGTGAAGGGGCGAAGAAACGTGGGCGCAGCTTTTCGTTCCTCTGTTTAGCCATTGAACGTTGCCTGTAGGGTTGTAGTTTCAAAAAAACCTGTTCTCCCACCTCGAATTCCACCTCTCTGCGATGTGCATCCGCGTACTTTCGCATACGTTCTTGGGCTAGGATCAGGTTAGCCTTCAACTTGTCGAGGGCTATATCACGCTCCTCGAGTTGTTGATTTAGCGTGGCGTCGGTTGTCCTTTGGCTGCCATACAACACGAGTGGGGGTGGAGGCCTGCCGTATACTGCCTGAAATGGGGTGGTTCCGATGGAATTGTAGTACGTGGTATTATACCAAAATTCAGCCCACGTGATCCAGTGCCCCTACTGTTTAGGATTCTCACTGCAAAAACAATGGAGGTAAGTTTCCAAACATTTGTTCACAATTTCCGACTGACCATCAGTTTGGGGGTGGTAGGCAGTGCTACGGTGTAGTTTAGTGCCCTGCAAACAAAACAATTCTGTCCAAAAGTGGCTGATGAAGATCTTGTCACGATCGGAGACAATGGTACGGGGGAATCCATGTAGGCGCACAACTTCTCTCACAAACACTGCTGCCACTGTTTTTGCTGTGAAAGGGTGTTTCAAGGGGATGAAATGGGCGTATTTGCTCAACCTGTCCACAATCACATAGATTGAGTCCTGTCCCAATGACTTAGGCAGCCCTTCGATGAAGTCCATGGAGATGTCCTCCCAAATTCGATCCGGTATGGCCAAGGGTTGTAGGAGGCCGGTGGGGGCGACTACGAGGTTCTTATTCTTCTGGCATGTGTGACACTGTTCTACGTATGCCTTAGTCATGGCTTTCATCCCCGGCCAATAGAGCTCCCCCGTTAGGCGCTTGTAAGTCCGTAGGAATCCTGAATGGCCCCCTACTACTGAATCATTTGTAGGATGGTGGGAATGAGAGAGGAATTTCGGGATAGGACCAACCTGTCCTTGTAGCGTAACATACCCTGCTGCAACGAATATCTTGGGACACTGTCGGGGTCCTTCTGTAGCTCCTCGAGGATTTTAGTGAATTCAGGGTCCTCGGCTACTTCGGTCTTAATCACGTTTACATCGATCAAGGTTGGTGTTGAAAGGGCTGTCAGCTGACTAATATGTGGAAGGCGTGATAGGGCATCGACGGCTTTGTTTTCCAAGCCAGGTCGATATTGGATTTCAAAGTCGTATCCCAGCAATTTCGATACCCACTTTTGATATTCGGGTTGCACGATCTTTTGTTCCAACAAGTACTTCAGAGCTTGTTGATCGGTTCTCACTATGAACCGTTGCCCGAGCAGATACGGTCTCCATTTCGAATGGCTAGGACAATGGCCATCAATTCTCTTTCATAGATTGGTTTGAGCTGGGCTTGTGTGGAAAGGGTGTGGCTGAAGAAAGCTATTGGTCTTTGTTGCTGGGATAAGACGAGACCTAACCCCGTACCCGATGCATCCGTTTCGATGATGAAGGGTAGGGTGAAATCTGGTAGCGCTAGGACTGGCAGGGTCACCATGGCATTTTTTAGCCTTTCAAAGGCCTCAGTGGCTTCGGATGTCCAGTGGAAGGCATCCCTCTTCAACAGTTGTGTCAAAGGGGCTTCTATGGAGCCATAATTAGAGACAAACTTGCGATAGTACCCCGTCAAGCCTAAGAATCCCCGCAGCTCCTTGAGGTTCGTAGGTTGTGGCCATTGGAGCATTGCTCGAATCTTTTCAGGGTCTGCTTCAACGCCTTCTGCTGACACCAGGTGTCCCAGATACTCGATCATTTCCTTGGCAAACTGACACTTCTTCAAGTTGGCACAAAGGGAGTGATCTCTCAGTAGGTTGAAAACCACAGTCAGATGGTGGATGTGGGCATCTGCATCGGAGCTATATATTAGAATATCATCAAAGATGACCAAAATGAACTTACGTAAGAATGGTCGAAATATTTGGTTCATCAATGCTTGGAATGTGGCAGGAGCATTGGTTAGACCAAATGGCATCACCATGAACTCATAGTGACCCTCGTGTGTCTGGAATGCTGTTTTGTGCACATCTTCAGGGGCCATTCTGATCTGGTGATACCCTGATTTTAGGTCGATCTTCGGGTACACCTTCGAGCCGTGGAGTTCATCTAGCAATTCCTCAATGACAGGAATGGGAAACTTATCCAGTATTGTAGCATTGTTCAGGGATCTATAGTCTACACAGAACCTCTAGCTACCATCTTTCTTCTTTACTAAGATCACGGGGCTCGAGTAAGGACTGGTACTTGGTCTGATCACCCCTGCCTCTAACATCTCACTGATTAGTTTCTCATTTTCGGTTTTCTGAACATGGGGATAGCGATAAGGTCGGACATTGACGGATGGCTGACCATCTTTCAGTTGGATTTTGTGGTCAATGGCTCGACAAGGGGGTAGGGAGGAAGGTGGTTGGAAAACCTCCGGGTAGCCAGCTATTAGATTCTCGATTTCTTGTACCCGGCGGTTGGGAATGATGGCCTCAATAGCCTCCTGTCCCTCCGGTTGCGCAGAGAAGGCCCTGAGCTCCACCAAGAATCCCTGATCATGTGTTTCCCAAGTCCGCGCTAGCTTCTTGAGGGTCACCTCCATTCTCATCAAGGTTGGGTCTCCCTTGAGGATGATTCTGTTGCTCCCATTTCGGAAAGACATGGTAAGTGCCTGCCAATCCACCTCCATCGTTCCTTGGGTGCTTAACCATTGCATTCCCAGCACCACATCCAAGTTTCCCAGCTCAAGGGGAAGGAAATTTTCTCTGATAGTTAACTCGGGGAGGTAGAGGATGATTCCCTTGCATATTCCCTTGCCCCTTACGACTACACCTGTGCCCATTATTACTCCATAATTGGAGGTCTCGTGTAGGGGAAGGTTGAACGCATCAACTAACTTCTGTGATATGAAGTTGTGTGTGGCTCCACAGTCGATCAAGATGACCACCTCCTTGTCTTCGATCAGCCCTCGCAATTTCATGGTTCCTGGAGTTGAGAAGCCCACAACGGTGTTTAGTGCCAGCTCGGCGACTTCCTCTACTATGGTGGTTTCTCTTCCTTCCGTACTCATAATCAGCTCTTCTTGATCCAGTTCCATGCCTTCGTCGTCGTGCACTACGAAGACCTTTAGCTCTTGGTTCTTACACCTATGCCCAATGCTGTATTTTTCCTCACTCCGAAAACAGAGCCCCTTGTCCTTGCGCCGCTGGTACTCTGTTTCCGTTAGCTTTTTCTGTGTCTGTTCCTTTCGTAGTGGTTGGGCCGTAGGATATGACTTACCAGATAGGGTAACTGTGCGAGTTGTCACTGTCTCTGATGTCTTGGGAGGTGTTTTTGGCGTATTTGCCAGTGTCCTAGGACCCTGACTTGGGCTTCCATCCCTTGTTGTATGGACTGACGAATTCCTATCTTCAATAAGTTAGGCTTTTTTCATGATTCGTTCGAGGCCCACTGGTTCCCAAAGTTTAAGTTCCGCCCTGATGTTGGGTTCCAACCCATTGATGAATGTACTTTCCATAACATCCTCAGCTATATCGGGCAAAGAAGCTGACCAAGCTTCAAATGTCTGTCGGTATTCAGTAACAGTACCTTCTTTCTTGATGGAAAGGAAGCGGGAAAGAAGGTTTTGATCTTTGGAATCGCTAAACCGCTCAAACATCCTGGTTTTCAGATTGTTCCAATCCGCGAATGGTTGCCGGTTTTCCGACCAGCAGTACCATTTCATAGCCGCACCTTCAAAGCTGATAATTGTCACTGTCATCTTCTCCTCCTCACTCAGGTGGTTGATCTCGAAGTATCTCTCAGCTCTAAAAAGCCACGAATTTGGGTCGTCCCCTGTGAAAACAGGCATCTCCACCTTTTTAAACTTGTTTCGTTCGACCCCAGGCCCCTCAGCTTTGCCCGTTGATGTCTCGCCTTGTTGCTCACTGTTCTCTTCGGGTAGTTTCCTCTTCAGGGCTGAACTTCCATTCTCTGCCGCAGCTGGCCGCGGGCTCTTCCCTTGGGACACTTCTAGCATGAATTCATCCAACTTTCGTTGAGTTTCCTCATTCTTGCGACGTTGTTCGATCATCTGCGCCTCACTTCTCTTACGCTGTTCCTCCAGTTGGGAACTAATTTGTTGTAGGACCTCCTTGATCCCACTCACTTCCTTTTCGGTCGACTCGCACCTTTCCTCTAGTTGTTTCTTGTTTGCCATTCGCACTCTTTCCCCGGTCGAACGTGCTCTGATACCAATTTGTGAGGTAACTCCCTCACAACTAGGTACTTAGATTAACAACAGAATACAGAAACAAGCAACCGTTCGAGAGGCTTGCGCTCTCCCACTAGTCTCACTTACTGAGTACAAAACAAAAGCATGCCTCTAACCTTGGCAGCCCCAAAACATATATTCTCCCTCCCACAACCTAGGACCACACAAAAGACAAAAGCTAAGGTCCTACCCAAGTCAACCTCCTAATTGTCAGAAGAGGGGGAATTACCCCCTGTACCCCTGCGTACATAAGTATGTCTAATAGGAGGCCTAACAATTTCATGGTTCTTTAATAATGCAATGTAAATCTGTAATGACATGCAACTTGCGATGACAATTTCCATTTGGACCTAGCTTCCTTTCATCTATGTTGCTTACTGTTATGGCTGCTTTTCAGGAAAATGAAACAACATTGGCTGGAAGGCAAAAGAGTGATGCTCGTGAAATGCAGAACTTTTATCGACATTACTATACAAAATACATACAAGCCTTGAATGAGGCTGACAAAGCTGATCGGTAGTTTTATAGAAAAATAGTGTAGTTTGCTTGGTTGTTTGGGTTTGTTACACTTAATTATTTGAATTGATGTTCTCTTCCTAATCAGTGACCAACTGACAAAAGTTTATAAAACTGCCGCGATCCTTTTTGAAGTTTTGAGGGCTGTGAATCAAACAGAGGCTGTAGATGTAGCTGATGAGGTAAAATTGATAATAATGTTGCGAGATCCTTCTGTTCACTTTTACTTGATTTGTTGCAGTAGCATCTTGAGTTAACCTGTCATGTGTTGTCTATATAAATTACTGTTGATAATACGTTTTTTCTTATTTATGTTTAAGATTTTGGAAGCTCACAACAAGGTTGAGGAGAAACAGCAGATGTATAAACCATTTAACATACTTCCTCTCGATCCTGACAGTCAAAACCAGATAATCATGAGAATTCCTGAGGTCTTGTCATGTTTTCTTTTCATTATTTGAGTTCCATTTTGCATCTTCATGATCTTGATGCATATTAATGCTCATTTGCTGATACAGATTCAAGCTACTGTCTCTGCGCTTCGTAACACCCGGGGTTTGCCATGGCCAAAGAACCACAAGAAGAAAGTAGATGAAGACATCCTTGATTGGCTTCAAGCGATGTTTGGTTTCCAGGTGACCAATGAAGTTTGATAAACATGTTATGCTTCAGGAGTGGGATTTATGTTTCACTCACTAATTTCAGGAGGGCAACGTGGCAAATCAAAGGGAACATCTGATTTTATTGATTGCAAATGTTCAGATGCGGCAGTATTCAAAGCCTGATCAGCGACCCAAGGTTTTTTTCTGCTCAACTTTCCTTTGCTCAGATTCCTACCTCTTAATAGTCTCTATTTTGTGCTTACCCTTTTGCATTTTAGTTGGATGACCGTGCTCTTACAGAAGTCATGAAGAAGCTTTTTAAAAACTACAAAAAATGGTGCAGGTATCTGGACCGCAAAAGCAGCCTTTGGTAAGACTGTTTTTGTGCCTTTTCAATTGTTAGTAGTCTTTTTAAGAATGTCAGCACAAATGAAATTTTGCTTTTCATTGTTGTATTTGGTTGGTAATTGCTACAGAACAAGAATACATATGTGTGTGTGTGTGTGTGTGTGTTAATTTGCAGTCCATAAAAGTTTCAAAATTGTGCTATCTTATTCATGACTTATATCAATTTTCATATTTTGGTAGGTTGCCAAAAATTCAACAAGAAGTTCAGCAGAGAAAGTTACTGTATATGGGGTTGTATCTTCTGATCTGGGGAGAAGCTGCAAACTTGAGATTCATGCCCGAGTGCCTTTGCTACATATATCATCATGTACGCATTAACATCTTTAACATTCTAGTATCATATGCTTGAACTTGTGCCTCTTCCCACCAAATTGAACTGTCGGAACATGAGATTTAAAAATTTTCCTTCTAGATGGACACACTAAAGTTCTATGTGTGTATATTTATCGGTGACTTGTCCCGCTTTCGAGAAAATTAGTTGGTGTAAATAGGAAACCCTTATTAGTAGAATCACTTACGGTGAAAATCAGTCTCTTCTCAATAGGATAGGATAATTATGTTTCGAAAAATGATATTTTTCAGGCTTTGATGAGGTGGGGTCTTCCCAGGGATTAGTGAGGTAAAAAATGAAAAAAAAAGAAAGATATATATTTTTTTAATTATAATTTTTGGAAAACTTTAATCTTCGTTTGCACCATGAAGGAAATGAAATTAGAGAAGTTTTATATGCACTTGGAACACTTGGGAAGAATATTTCTCCTTCAAAATTTCGTTTTATTCATCGAAATGTTGATAAGATAGTTGAAATCAAAAGTTTCCGAACTTGAGCAATTTACAAGAAAAGGTGTGGTTGACTCCTGTCTGCTAGTTGACTCCACGGATTCACTGTATGATGAGAAACTTTGTAGATGGCATTTGAATTGTACGGCATGCTGGCTGGAAGTGTGAGTCCAATGACAGGAGAGCACGTCAAACCAGCTTATGGTGGTGAAGAAGAGGCTTTCTTAAAGAAAGTTGTTACTCCGATATATAATATAATAGCTAAGGTATTGCACGAAGTCTTCTTGGTCATTGAAATCTATTGGTTTCCAGTTGCTGCTGCAAACTGATAGCTGAGTATCTCTTCTATTAATTATTTGCATATATAGGAAGCAAAAAAAAGCAAAGACGGTAAATCAAAGCATTCACAATGGAGAAATTATGACGATTTGAATGAATATTTCTGGTAAGCTTTTTGTCATCAGTTCTACATTTCTACTTCATATTGAGTTTTCTAAAATTTCAAGAATTTTGGTGGTGCAACTTTGTAGGTCAATTGATTGCTTTCGCCTTGGTTGGCCTATGCGAGCTGATGCTAATTTCTTTCAGTGTCCTTCAGAACCTGCTAGAGTTGACAAAGATGAAGTATGGAATATTTTGAATTCTGATATTTGTTAGTCCATGTTCTTCTTGTAGATTCCTTTGCCACGTTATCTTTGAGAATTTTGTACACGTTCCATTTCAAGATGTTGACATATTTCTTTTAATACATTTTCTTCTCTTTGCCTAGCATTCTCAAATTCTCTTTCAATGATTTAGACGCCTTTCAAAATAGTCATTGTCTAGATGGGAACTTTCATCTCTGATTACACTGAAGTCTTCTCTTCTTATAGCCTGGTGAAGTGGACTTGGTTAACATCAAATTGAGAAGGGAACATTGACTATTGACAAGACTTGCCATCACTATAGGGACAAATTCCTTATAAGAAAAGAGGCAACTTATTTCATGAGATAAATCCTGATCCTGCACAAAATCTTATTTAGATGTTATCCATGTAGCCTCTCCATTGTACCTAAGTTCAGCCAAAGAGTATTAGTTGGCTTTCTAAGCATTTGATCTCCTTCCCCACCCCAACCCTACCCCCCAGTTTCCAATCTCTAGACTTCTTTGTTTGTCCTCAAACTTTTAATTGTTTCTAGGACTAGTATGCTCATGATAGTAGAAATGTGTCATTTCCAGGAAAATAAACTAAATACCAGAAATCGATGGATGGGGAAAGTTAATTTCGTGGAAATACGGTCATTTTGGCACATTTTCAGAAGTTTTGACAGGATGTGGAGTTTTTTTATATTGTGTTTTCAGGTAAGTTTCTTGCTGTGCTGGCTGCTTTTCTTTCTTTCCTATTTTTTTTTCCTTAAATTGGTAATATTGTTGACATATGTTCTCCACAGGCAATGGTAATCATTGCTTGGAATGGTTCAGGGGATTTGGATTCAGTATTCGAGGGCGACGTGTTTAAGAAAGTGTTGAGTATCTTTATAACAGCAGCAATCTTGAAGTTTGCACAGGGTACTGAAAAATGTTCATTTCTTCTAATTCGTCTTGTTTGTCTGTTTGTACAAAAAAAGACCTGTATTTCACCTATAACTCCTAGGCTTTTAAAATATATATATATATAATATATATATATATATATATATATATATATATATATATAGAAGACCTGTATTAAGCCGTTCTGTTGCTTACATTCCCATTCTAGGATATTTAATCATAATCTGTTGTTTAATTTCACACACATTTGGAGAAAGAGTGCAACAATGATAGAACATTGGAGAGAATAACTTGATATGCTTTTGGGATACACTTGATAATCACTGCTCTTCTTCTTTTGCACAACAACTTTCACTGTGATTGCGAGGTGTTATTTTGAATTATAAATCATAGTGGAAGTACAAATACAGTATTTAAGTTTAAGCTCATTAATCAAATAATCACTAAATTAAGCCTGACTAATCATCTAGCTAAATAATAAATATAACAGAAACTCAACCAACCAAAACTAACAGTATATTACAGAATAAAACATGTTTATATATCCTCAAGAATGTTTAGTTTAGATCATCATTTGGCACCTCTACTACGTTAGTAAAATTTTTTTGGTCTCTATTTTAAGTTATACTTGATACCTTCGCATTCAATGACAATAATGACAATATGAGCACAACAGATGTCACATTTGGTATATTTATTTATTTATTTGTTCCATTTTCAGCTATAATTGATTTTATCCTTAGCTGGAAAGCAAGGAAGAGCATGTCCTTCTATGTCAAGTTAAGATATGTTCTTAAAGTTGCATCAGCTGTGGCATGGGTTATAGTTTTATCTGTAGCTTATGCCTTCAGTTGGAAGAATCCTTCTGGCTTCACACAGACAATTAAAAGTTGGTTCGGGAATAGTTTAAGTTCACCTTCCTTTTTCATTGTGGCTATCGTTATTTACTTATCTCCAAACATGCTTTCTGGGCTATTGTTCATTTTTCCAACAATTCGGCGTTTCCTGGAACGTTCAAACAATAAGCTTGTGATGCTCATGATGTGGTGGTCTCAGGTACGTGATCAATGTTTTCAAACTTCATATAGACAATTATTAGCAGTTTTGGACCAACTCACACAATACTTGGAATCGTTTGTTGCTTGCTCCCTTATTTTATTTTTATTTTTTCAGTTTAGTGTATAAACACTTCACTACTATTCGGTTTTCATCTTACGAATTATTAATCAAATGTTTAAATCCATTCCAGCCTCGGCTTTATGTAGGAAGGGGAATGCACGAGAGCTCACTTTCACTCTTGCAGTAAGAATTTTGATCTTGGGTGTTGAGTAGGGAAGTTTAAGTCATCATGGACTTCTCTCATTCTTAGGTTTCTATCTAATTTTCAGGTACACCATCTTCTGGGTTCTTCTGATTATATCAAAGTTAGCATTCAGTTTCTATTTAGAGGTACTTCTCCGATTCACTGCTTAGAACATGAACTTTTCCCTGTAACCAAGGATTTGAAATAACCCCATGTATTAATGTTTACACATAATTGTTTATAATAATCACTTAGTCAGCGTAGTTAACTTGACAGACTCAGCTCTAACTAACTACAACAGTCAACAGCTTAACCAGACCTCACCAATAGTAGTAACATACACCCAGCTGAAACAGAAGACAAATTGGACTGGAAGATCCTTTTGCGCCATATGTTTGCACACAAAATCAGTTTTCATGTACATTACCATTACAGAAAGTATTGGATTATGTTAGGCCACCGGTTATTCATACTTATGTTAGATAGGGTAGAAGAGGAAATTGAGAGGTAGGGTGCAGGGTGGGGGGTGTTTTGGGAATTTCTCGCACAGTTAGTTAGGAGTACAGTTGGGGGAAATGGAATGTATGTAAAGGGGAGCCTCGGGATTAGGGAGGCAGTTTTTGACATTTTGCGTAAGCACAGAAGTAGCTGTAGGAAGAGACCCAGCCCTCTCGGATTGGCTGGTCTTGTAAAGCCTAAGGGCTGTTTTTTCCTTTCGAATATCAAAGTTTAGTGAGGAAGATACCTCACAACCTGGTATCAGAGCGGTCATCCTGGGGAGAAAGCGAAGAATGGTACGGATGCGACTTGAGGAACGTTGCGATGCAACGGAGCAAGAAGTGGCCAGCTTGAAGGAGATGGTCACTGACGTGAAGGAACAGGTTCAGATGAACCAGAAGATTTTAGAAACGTTCATGGCAAAGATGGACGCACGACAAGAAAGAATCGAGCGCTTCATGGCCCACGACACTGTCGATAAGTCATCTATGACTGAGGAAAGCGGAGGAGAAGGCTCATTGCTAAAGAGGAAAGTGACAGATGAGGAGACTCGAATCTTGGAAACTACGGAGATTGGAAACGATCGTAGCAAGTTCAAAAAGGTCGGGATGACGATCTTCTTGGGACCTAACCCGGAGTCGTGGTTATTCCGTGCAGAGAGGTACTTTGAAATACATAAGTCGAGTGATTATGAAAAACTTATAGTTTCTGTGATAAGCTTTGATGGAATAGCTTTGTCCTGGTATTGGTGGAATGACCATTAACGACATTTTCGGATTGGAAAGACTTGAAGAACCGACTGTTCCAACGTTTTCTGCCCTAAAAAAAAAGAGGAAGACAATGCGTCAGATTGTTTGCGAACAAATAGGAGACCACCGTCGAAGACTGAAGACTATATTGAACGGTTTGAGGCCATGGCGGCGCCGTTGCCACAACTTTTCGATGAAGTCCTCAAAGTCATGTTCCTTAATGGGCTTAAACCAGTGGTTAGGGCTGAGGTTTTGGCCATCGAACCTGATGGGCTAGATCAGATTATGTGCAAAGCCCAGTTAGTGGAGGACATTGACCTTGCGGCCCAAGGAGATGGAGGGACGCTCATAGGGAAAGGGGATAGTAATCAAGCCACGACAGGGACGGGTAAAGGAATATTAAAGAACGCAGACCTATCCTCTACACGTGTAGTCACGCTAGCTACTAAGGGACAAGGGAACGTGGTTTCGACTGAATCGGTACCCCAGTAGAAACGACTCACGGAAGCAGAGTACCAGAAAATGAAGGAAAAGGGATTGTGCTTCAAATGCGACGAAATATTCGGTGGGGCACAAGTGTAAGAAGAGAGAGTTACACGTGTTCGTGGTGCATAACAACAATCAGGAGGA